TCTTTCCAATTAATTGCTAGATTAAAAAAATCTTCTGGAGATTCTCAGGATCATTGCCTTGCCCATCTTCTACATATAACTGTATGTCTTGACATTATCATAAGAATAGACTTTTAACATTCTTGCCATAAGAAAATAAGTTGGTGAGGTGGTTGAGTCTTTCTGCAGTGTTTATAAAGATCAAAACATCACTTCGGACCCCATAAACATTTATTATTAATATTTGTTGATTAAAGTTTTTAATTTTTTTTTTCTCCTTGGGACTGAACCCAGGACATTTGCACAGAACTACATTCCCAGGCCTTTTTTTTTTTTTTTTTTTTTTTGAGACAAGGTCTACCTAAATTGCTGAATTGCCCAGAAAATGCTCAAATTTGCAATCCTCCTGCTTCAGCCTCCTAGGGTGCTGGGATTACAGGTGCGCCCTACCAGGATTGGTTTAAAGACTGATATTTAAAGATGCTTTGTTTCTCTTTGAAGCTAATCCCTAAAAGAAATTCACTTTAAAAGTCTTTTCATTAAAGTATGACTGTGTGGACAGCATTTATAAGACACAAAACTCTAGCAACCTTTCTCCAGAGACCTTCACTGGCAGGGAACACTTCCACTAATACTGCTGCGAAGCAGCTTCTTTTAGAAACTGGAAAAAAGTCCCAGCCACTGGGATTGGGGGATCGGTTCGCTTTATGTTCAAAGACTACCCAGATAACCTGGAGGAGGTTAAGCTGCTCAAGAAACTGTCTTTCCCACGGCGGTGACCACTGAAAAAACTAGGGTGGCTAGAGTCCCAACTTGCCCAATGTCAGCAACAATGGGAGCCTTCACTCTGCAGTTCAAACCCACCAGTCTTTCATTACTGGTTTCTCAAAGTACGCGACCGCCGGCCAAATAGCTCAGCGGATTCAAGCGCCTACAAGCAGGCACAGGGCCCAGGGGTTCGATCCCCATCCCCCTCCCTACCCCATCCCCCCACTACCCCTGCTGTGCAGACAGCGATTGAGACTGGGCGTGGTGGTGCACGCCTGTAATTCCTGAGTTCAATCCTCGGCTCCGCAAAGAAAATAATTAAAAAGCGTGAAAAGCGACGCTGACACCACGTTGGTTGCCTGCGCCTGAATAGTTCAACCTGGGGACTCAGAACTCAGAGCGAGCCCTCTCCCTCTGCAATCACCTGAGAAGTGTTAAAAACGCGGAGGTCTGGGTCCGGCACACCAGAGTTCGGATTTCGTTGATTGGATGCCAGGACTTTATCAAAAACTGTATCAAAAACTTCCCCAATAGCCAAGGTAGAGAACCTCTGCTTAAAACAATGGTAAGGGTAACTTGTTTTTCTTGTATGGTTGCTAAACTTCTGGCAAAGACAACAGTTTCTGAAGCTGCTCTTTAGTATGTGGCCCCAGAAATAGCCGCACCTGGACCACCCCTGTGCAAATCCTTAGTAATGCAAATTAGAGGACTAGACCTACCAATGAGAAACGCTAGGGGCGGGGCCAGCAAACTTAAATACGCACGGGGGCGGGAGGGGGCAGTTGGACGACCAGCGCTCTGGTGAAGTCTTGTCCTTGAGAGCTGTGTCACTAAGCAAACTGAAAAGGGACAGCGACGATGACTGGGTGTTTGCTCGATTCACAATCAAGTTGTGAAGGTCTTTTTGTTGTCTTTGGGTGCAGCCTCCTGGTTCTCGGCTCCCTGGGGCTCCAAGGATAACAAAGCTTTACCCGAGTGACTGTCAGCAAGTTTTGCTTGGCTTAGTGAGAGGGGCTCTTTGGCTTCCTGTCACCAGGTGCTGCTGGTAAGCTGGGCCTGTCCAGCCAGAGCCAGACACACTGCCACCCAAGCTTGCGAAAATCTTGAGCCGTTTTTATAGAGAAGGAAGAAGAGGGCAATTTGGATCTTAACGTGCTTTTAAAAAAAATCCCACTGCTACCCATTTGCTAAGCAGAGTCGTCTCTAGGAAGGACAACACCTGCGCTGACCTCATGGCTGAAGTGAGTTAACCATTCCCTAGCTCACAGGCAAACCAGATGGGCCTAACCCAGTTTATTCCGTGCACGAAGTATGAACACATGGGCAGGGTTTTGCCTTGTGAAGATTTTGTAGTCTAAGCAGTCTTCTCTGTTTCCCCCATTCCTATAGGGTTTTAAACTTCTACACTTCAAAACTTTTGATTCCAGGGCCATAGATAACCATTATTTATTTGCTAGTCACTCTCGGTCCCTGCTCAGTGACAATAGAGAATGAGGGGTGAACCCAACAAGTGTGCAGCTGTTTTGAGTGTCTTGGAGGCGTGTGGTCGATGCTGCTTCTCAGGGATGCTAGCCTGCTAGGCTGAGTTAACTGCACATTTTCATCTCCAAGCCCAGGACAGAATTTGGATAAACAAACTATCACACCAGTGAGACTATGTGCTTTCCAAAGCATTTGCAAAGGTCGGGGGTGTGGCTCTGTGGTGGAACGCCTGCCCAGCCTGGAAAGCCTGGGTTTAGTGCCCATCAGCACCAAAACACATCCGTCTCTGAAATTCTATGGAGCTACGGGTGGGAGGCCCAGGGCTTGGCATTCTGCTCCCATTATGCCTGGGGAGGGAGAACCTGCCCTCCTTCTCTTGGGCAGCCAGGCCCATGCCGTGGCTCTCTGTGCCCCTTTGCTACTGAGGCACACAGCGATAGTTCCTGGTGGGTAGCACAGTGGGGCAGGAGAGTTGGGCAGATTGGTGCCCAGGAGGGGCAGAGAGGAAGGTGTGCACCACATGAGGGAAAGGTGAATCCTGCCCAAGCTGGGCCCAGAGGTTTCTGCTGAGGAAGTTGCAGAAATCTCTTCATGCTCAGCTTTGCTTCCTCTATGGGAGCACTCTGAGCCCCTCACAGACTTTGTTCCCAGGCTCTTTCCAATAAATTGAGAGAAATGGCCCCAGGGAAGTTTTCTCAGGTGAAACACAGGAAGTCTGCCACCAGTATGTCAGGATGACAATATCTCAACTATGTTATTGGCCATACTTAAGCTCACGTCACTGGGCAACCTGTGCTTTCATTTGCAACCCCCACTTCTTGCAATCTGGTCTATGGTGAGTGACAGAAGGTACAGGGCAGGTAGACACCCCAAAGGCCCCTGGTGGCAGCCCTGGCAGGAAGGCAAGCCACCCACTCACCATATCGGCAACGGTATTGACAGATTCCATTTTTCCCTCCCAGAAGCTCCAGGAAGGAATCAAAGTAGCTGTTGACGGATTCAAAGCTGCCCCGCAGGTGCCGGAGGCCCCAGTCGGAGTACGATTCCTCAGCTTCAGGGCCAGGGTCCCTTTGAGCCAAGGCTCCCCTCAAGCTGAGCCACAGGACCACGAAGCTGGTGGCCAGCTTCATCCTGCAGACAGGTAGGTCCTGAAGGCTGTCCCCAGAGCCCAGCCAGTGTCCCAGAAGTCCAGAGACACAGCCCACCCGGCCGGATGTCAGGCGGCACTGGGAATAAGATTATCGGGAACACTCAATCTGTGTGTTCCCCAGAGGTGGACTTTAAACACAGCTAGGGAGGCTGAGATGAGATCAGGGCAATTAGAGGGCAAAGGTGAGGCAGTGGGAGGGCCTGCTGGAGGGATGGCCCAGAGGAAGAACTATTCAAAGTGGATTCCATGGCCCTACAGGGGGAGATGTTGGCCAGCTCCTGAGAGGCAAGGGGAGGGAGCCCTGAGGGTTCTATGTTGTCTTTCTTGAGAAAGGGGCTCGCTATGTAGTTCTGGCTGGCCTTGAACTCATGGTGTAGCCTGGGCTGGCCTCAAACTTGAAG